TTGCATTGAATTATATTCTGAAGCTGGTCGAGCTTTTATTGTGACATTCAAATGTGCTTTTTCTCCCAAAATCCATTCATGCTTCAATGCTTCTGCTGCACTCAACCTAGCGTCTGCATTTGTTTCCAGAAGGCTGTCTACAAACTGTTTCGCTAGCTCAGAGCCAGACCAAAACTGAAAATATGAAAGATTAGTGGTCAGACAATAGTAGTTTTTGACGTTTAACGCAAATCAATAGAAAATGTTTCACTAAATCAGTTTTATTGTAAAATTTTTAAATTCCATTAAAAGATAATCAAAAGTACCTGTGGATAATATACGTAATTAGCAGTAATAATATGAGTGTACAGACGAGAACGGCAATCATCATCAAACGGCATAATTCCAGACATAAGTATATAAGCTATCACACCGACTGCCCACATGTCCACTTTTTCAGTGTAGGCCATACGTAAAAGAACCTAAACAATTGGTGAATTAATTGCCAATCCCATAATCAGCTTCATACAAATGCAAACTGTAGAACAAATTTTCTTCTCTATCTACAAACAGAATCAACACTTTTTTCATTAGTTCTATACCTCAGGAGCTATATATTCTGGTGTGCCACATGTTTCGGTCATCCTCTCTTCCGCAGAACGCGTCTGATGAGCCAAACCAAAATCTGTGATCAACAGCCGTGCATCTGGCCTCGTATCACTATACAGTAAATTTTCAGGTTTTAAGTCACGATGTGTTATTCGAATACCGTGCAAATATGCTAATCCGTTGAGAAGCATACGTAAAGCCTGTCGCGCTTCGGCCTCTGAATATCGGCTTTTCTCAACTACCCGATCATACATTTCACCTCCACTAGCCAACTCCATGACAATGAATAATTTTGAAGATGACTTGAAAACCTGAAACTGAGTGCTGAATTTGCAATGTTCTGTTTTCTCATCATTGAAAAGCCATCAATATCAGTTCGTCTCTTTTTTTCTATAGTTAGAGAGTTCAGTCATTTATCCATCTAAGTTTCACCAGTATTTATTGACTAAAATTACAAAAAGTAGTTAGTTTGCTTGCAAACTGCCAGTTAGCTGTTTGACAGAAGTTCCTTTGTTTAAAACTCATTTTAGATTAATGTTTCAGAGAATTGTTCAATGCGTTATCTGCTAGAACAAAGACGTCACTAATTCAACTTGAAAATATTTAACAAAACCAAAAAGTCTTAAAATTCCCTTTTTTTTTTTTTT